AATTTTTAAAAAAAAAAAAAAAAATGCTTTTTGTAATTCTGCCCCCCCCCCCCCCAAATTACCCATACATTTTAATTTTTTTTTTTTATAATGTCTTAATTTTTCTGCCTCAGTAAATTAAATTATGTGTTTTGTGGTTGTATTGAAGTTGGGAGCTTTTTCTTTGCCACACACCATACTCCATTTGAAAATTTGAGAAGTAGATGGGGAATGGTAGTAATTTTAAAGCTTTTTGTTCTTGTCGCCCCTCCCTGGTTGTGTTAAGTTAGACCAGGGGTGTCAAACTTGTCTGGCTCCTTGGGGCAGCTGAGTGGTGTGGGACTGGTCTGTAAGCCGTATTGGGCCCATGGACGCCCACCTTCAATGCTGGATCCAACCAGCACCTGTTCCTGCTGGTTTGGAGCTGAAAGGAAAGAAGACCAGCATTTTAGATGCTTGGCTGCAGCCGCAGGAACAAGCTGGTGTTTGGCTGCTTTCTGCAGTGCTGCTGGGGCTTAAGCACTCTGGCCAGAGCAGTGGTACTGAGCAGCCAAGCTGACCAGATTTGCAGTACTGGAGCCCCAGCAGAACTGCGGGAAGAAACCTGCAACACGGCTTGTTCCCATGGCAGTAGCCAAGCACTAGTGATGCTGGCCGCCTTCCTGTGGTGCTGCTGGGGCTCCCACACTGTGGGTCTCATCCAGGCACTTGGCTGCTGCCACAAGAAATTTCCTCCATCAATGCTGTGGGTCAGTGAGTCTCAACAAGGCCAGTGTTACAGTGGGGTTTGAGAGAGCACTATGGGGTGCTGGCAGACTGACCAGCTCCTTATTATGCTCTACTGGGGAGAACAAATGTGATCTGAAGCACATCAGAGTCATTTGCTGATAGAATTCAAGCCAATTTGAAGTGTTACAGTGCCATGCATAGTCTGTATCTTCAATTTTATAGCACTTAAGGACACTTGAGACACCTACACATTATGATTCTGCTCTTATTTTAGCACTTTGTTTAGCTGCAGACAATTTGAGTGGGGGGGGACAGAGAAAAGAAATAGAGTACAGAAGAGTTTTATGGTCTAGGGACTTCAAAGTCACTGTGACTTGATTTGCAAGTGTGTTGTACTGGTGTTGTTTTGCCATCACTAGAATTTTAGGAACTGTGCAGGCTTTGTAAATTGGACAGGTACTGTGTCCCTTGCCACTCATGAAGACTATGGTAAACCTAAAATCTGCTGGGCTTTCTCTGGAATTTCCTAGCTTGGAAAAATGACTTTCTTGGGTCAAAGCAAGTACTTGCATTTGCTTTTGGTAGGTACCATTGGATGAAGGAATCATGGGTCTCCAGTAGTAGGCAGCTGTTGATCCTCTGGATCATGGTTACTACCCCCCTTATGCACATACCAAGATCTTCCATGTATACACCTAGGCAAGTTTATGGAAGAGTGGCGTCCCAAGACCCACCGAAGACCTACCGTTCCCATATTCAGTGTCTTGCTGGTTGTAGCTTCTGCCAGAGCAACAAATAAGAACTGCTGCTGACTGCGTAATGCTTCAGTGAGGATGAGTTTCAGGATGATGTCCTTTAGTCAGTTCTCCAACCAAGGAATACCCACAAGGCAGTAGGTGCTAGGAGTTTGAGGCACCTTGTGACAGGGTGGCTGAAGCACCCTGCCATGAGAATGCAAAGAATAAAACAAAGGAAGTAAACTTACCTAGAGATGCTGAGGAAACCGCGGTGAGCGGGGGTGGGAAAGGTGCTGTAAGAAATAAGGAAATTAGCTGGGGCATGGCAGATCAAAGGCTGCCATGGGAAATGTAGCTGCCAGGGTTCAAGCTTGAGATGGGGAGAATGGTGTGGCCAAAGAGGAGGAAAAAAAGCCGCATTGAAAATTAAAGGAAAAACAGCTGGGTCGGGAAAGCAGCGAATTGGATGCTGTCATGGCAGACCCAGCCGGCCAGAAAGGGAATTTAAATGGACGTCAAGCAAGCATCAGGAGTTGGACGGGAGACGAGGTGAAGAGAAAGAAGATGGTGAAGACTGAGGAGAGAAGGGACCAACCCTGGGGCTTGGAGGAAAGCCCTGGTCCCCCAACTTACCTAGTGCAAGCCAGCACAGAGACAGAGGAGGCTGCTCTGTTGGTGAGAGCCAGCACAGAGATGGAGGAGACTGCTTCATTGGTGAGTCCAGTCCCGAGGGGTGAAGGTAACCATTTCAGGAACCTAGAGGAGAACAGCCACAGATGAGATTACACCCAAGGAGGGGGTAAATCCATCCTGACCCTGAAGATAAGGGTGGGTTTAGAACTAAGAAGTGGCTCTCTTGAGAACTGTGCAGGGAAGAACAGGGCAAGCAGCCAACTTAAGTGGGGGACCCTAGGCAAAGGAGTCCATAAGGCTGAGACTGGATCCTCAGTACTACAGGTGAGCAACAACACGCCCAGAACATCTGGTATGGTTAGGGCAGGGGATGGGGATGGTGGAGCCCTGTGAAGAAAAGCTGACCGCTTGAGCCTGTAAGCAACCCTTTTGTCTCCCAAAAGTGTTTTGGCACCTCTGTCTAGCGTCAAGGCATGGCAGGAGATCTTTCACAGGACAGAATGCTACTCTTCCAGCAGAGAGAGACTACTCTGCTCCTGGCGGCATGCCTCTGACCTCTTACTCACTTTACTTTGGAGGTTGCAACATTGTAGTATTTTATTGGAGCTACCCTGCCATGAGTAGCCCCATCACATTGCCACCAGGCCTATGAGTTGGATGCAGATTATGGTCAAACCCAGGATTCATGTGTCTGTAGTACCATCCAAGTAAATTGAAGGACTGACATTGACGGACTGGAATTGACACAACAGGAATCTTCTCAATTTTCTTTCCCTGGCTGGCTTGGAAGGGAAGAACAAGCAGAAAAAAACTGCAAAATGCCTTCTGAACCAGCCCTGCGCACTTGGGTTTAGAGCTTTTAACTAAAACCTTTGGGCTGGTAACTGGCTTTGTAGTAATAACATGGAAAACTAGGAACACCCTTAACCCCCTTCAAAAAAGGAAGCTATAACTTTATTTCTTTTTAAAAATAATATATGTACATATAAAAATGCGTGTCATATATAGTCGATCATTTTAATTAGATTCTTAACAATCTGATGCATGACTTACAAAACTGGAATTATTTATACTCTAAAGAGAGCATTGATTAAAGACATTCAACTACCATTTGTACTCTAAGGCCATGGACCAGCATTCATTTCTGTTGGTAAGAATTTCTTTAAAATTCTTTGAAATTTATAATTTCTTAGAAATTCTTTGAAAACAAATTCCCACACTTCTAAATTGACAGTATTTTGTAGGAGAGTGCTTATTGGGAGGATGAAGGGACATCCCTTGTTGGAATAAAATTAATTTGTTACTCCTTTTAATTTTAGGTCTTATGGTAGTGTGTTTAAAGCAATACACAAGGAATCTGGACAAGTTGTGGCAATTAAACAAGTCCCTGTTGAATCGGATCTTCAGGAAATAATTAAAGAAATTTCTATAATGCAACAGTGTGACAGGTAAAAGTATAGTTTTAATTCTTTATTTCTGCTACCTTTTCTAATGTCTATTTGAAAATATACTTGATAAGTGCTGTTGAAATTTTGGAAAAGTTTTTTTTTACAGTTGATACGCCACTTTAATGTGCATTATGCTTGTTCTTACTGGGTGCGTCTACACTAGATGCTATGTCACCCGTAGCTCATCGCTATGGCAGCATAGTATCAGCAGGCACTAACTGCGATGCCACTGCTATTGCACAGTAGCTCATTGCTACTGCACAGTAGGGTCAAACAACGTGTGCACCTCCGGGACTGTGCAGTCATTTAGTACTGCTTGCTTTAGCAAGTACTGAATGACTGCACAATACCTGCTGGAGCTGCAGTGTCACCAGTGCACAGGTCGTTTTCTACTCTACTGCTAAAGCAAGTATTATATGACTGTAGTACCAATTGTGCAGTCAGGGGCACGTGCAGTCATGCCTGCTGAGGATCAAATTCCTTCCATGATTTCTGAAGAAGTATAGTTGTTATTCATCATTGAAAGAATAATAGATACACCTGAATTAGTATTTGAAATTAATGATGATTCCTAGAAGAATGAGGTGTAGGCTCTTTAGATTTGCACCCATTACATATCTACTGCCAACCAAAATAACTTGGCATGATGATAAAATCTTTAATTATAAGTCGTGGAATGCTGTTAACGTTTCCTGTAAGTGGATTAATCCATGTGAATTTTAGGTTTCAGTTTCAAAGGACTGGCAAAGATGTTGTAGCACGTCTTTGTCCTTAAATGAAAGGGAAGGGAGGGATTTAACTTCTCTTTTTGGGGGGAAGAGAAGGGGGTGTTGTTTTTGCTTGGAGAAAGATCCTTTAACTCTGTGGTTGACAACCTGTAGCCTGTAGGCCAAATCTGGCCCACAGAGATGATTTTTATTTATCTATTTTTTTTTCCCCACCCAATGCACCGAGCAGAAACTCTGCACTTCTAATGCACCTTATTATGGTTCTTTTCTGAATAAATTTGTCTGTCCAAATGACTTTTTCAGTGAGTTCTTCAGTAACTTTTGGATAAGTGAGAGTGTACTGCACAGCTGCTTTTTCAAATATCCTGAGGAATTCCTTCTTACTCAATCTGTCTTTGTCCGTCTTCCATATGACAGGGGCAGGGGTAAAAGCGAGTTCTTCCAGACAGTATTCAGCTGCCATAACTATGAGTCCTGTGGTCTTATGGAAAAAATAGAATGTGATGACCATATAATGGGGTGCACTGATAGAGATTTTTGGGACCGATACAGATGGCCGATATTTATTGGCCAATACTGATCTGATTTCCGATACAGCTGGTAAGTCCGGTGTAGTGGAAGTGGGGTGGGAGGAAACATCAGCACAAGGAATGGGACTGGCTTTT